TCTCTCTCTCTCTCTCTCTCTCTCTCTCTCTCTCTCTCTCTCCCTCCCTCTCTGTTTCTTTCTTTCTCTCTCTGCACTCCCTCTCCCCGTCTCTTTCTTCGTCGTCCCTTTTGTATCAAGTATCCAGAAATAAAAATCGCTTATAATTGTCTTTGTCATCCGCAAATATTCTCGCCCTCGCGCCGTCTTCGGAGAAGGTCCCGCGTGTCGGACGTGCGATGCTTGGAGCGATCAGCACGTCGGATATACACGTCGCGACATAAAGCAACGAGCAGATACCGGAACGTGGGCGCATATACGCGCACTTGGTCGTGACATTCTCCTTTCCTTAGACGAGTCTCGGGACAGATCGCGAGTACGATCTTCGGAGATCTTGGACGATGTCTCCGAAAGTCAGATCGAGACGAGAAGAGTGTCGCAACCGTTCCGCGACCGGGAGCGCGTGCATTGACGGTCGATTGACGGTCTCGTTGACGAGCCGCTGGTGTAAATAAGGCGACAGCCGATCGAGCCGGTCGGTCGTGCTCCGCTTGTCATAGGCGCCAATGACTGACCGACGGGCGGCGAGCGGGGTGACTTGAGAGCGTGCGTAATTACGCGAATAGAGAGCCGGTGTTTTCTCGACGCGGTGGCTAACAATAACCGCCCCGCGGAGCCGGGCCGGGGGGGTGCCGGGGGATGGACGAGGGCGCGAGCGTTGCGCAGTGAACGGGTTTTATTGATAGGTCGTCGTCGGGGCGGCCGGGGAAAAACGGGAACGTGAGAAAGAAGGGAAAGAATAATGAGGGAAGCGTGCTGCGCCATACCGATGCGAGATCATGTAATGTAGACGACAAGTACGTGTAGAGACGCATGTAAAATGCAAGGCGACGAGCCTTGACGTGGCTTAGTAACGAGCTGCTGCAGCTGCATAGGGTATGCATAGGGGTATGCGGCTGTGTAGCTCGTGGACGGGGTGTGAAAGCGCCTGGATTGGCACGGTAAATTCTTGGGGGTGAAATATATACGCGTCTTGTGGATAGGGTAGCACACATATCCGTTGGGTGGGAGGGCGAGTAAGCGAGCGAGCGAGTGAGCGAGCGAGCGAGCGAGTGAGTGAGTGAGTGAGAGGGATGGAGAGGGCGGAAATAGGAGTGCAAATACCGTGGAATGGCGAGACGCGGCTATAGCGCGTTTTGCGTCAACGCAAGGAAAGTTAAGACGGGGTGGAGGGGTGTATTACGTCGTTGCGTTAATTTATCGCTTGTAATACCCATCTCGATTTCGCGGACACTTCAAGGGGATGAAGCGCGCGCGCTGAACAGTCGTAGTATTCGTGACGTCTGCGATCTGTTTACCGTGTGCTCGCTCGCAGCAAGATTTGAACACTCTTTTTCGACGGATTCTGAGGCGCATCCGACGTCCAATCTTACCTCACTAATTATTCAAAAGTAGTATCCCCCGTCGACTACGTGCTCAAGTGCGTATCGAAGATGACGTGTGTTCAAATCGTTCCGCAAACGAGTTGCCTGCAGAAGAGGGACGCGCGCGAGTCGGTACATGAAGAAAATATTATAGTTTTTTTTCATATAAATTCTTTTTTATTTTACTATATTTTTAGCAATGAAGGAATAGGTTGCCAGGAAGTTTATCTTGCTAAAGAACGTGGTAAATTTTGCTAAAAACATAGCAAATTTGTAATAACACATTTCAGTTTCTATAAAAAAATAAGAAACTTGTAAATCTCGTTAGGAACATAGCAAATCTTTTTTATGGCACACTTCAGTTCTTAAAACATAAATAGCACTTATGAAATAAAAGGATAGTCAATTACCGCAGAGTAGTGATCATGAATCTTTTCCTCCAGCGTGGACAAATGAGAATTTCCATATGCTTTCAAGTTTAAGAAATTTTCACTTTTCATAAGAGGACAGGATTTTAATGCCGGAGGAAAAATTCATTATCGAGATGTCGATTTATTCCTCGGCTACAAAATTCCATAACTCTTATTAAAAATAAAAGTAACATTTTCATCATGTATCAAAAAAGTTACTCACGATAGGAAAATTTAGTTGTTTCGTTTCCTTTCTACGATTACGACGTAAATGATCGCGCTTTCGAATTTCGCGTCGCGTTTTCGTTCTCTCCGTCGCGCTTCCTCCCCGGCCCGGGCTGTCATCCGCAAACGTTTCATCCGGTAAAAGGAAAGTAGCCTCTGTAATAATGTAACGCCGTCGTGCCACTCGTTTCCTGAATAGGATATAGGTTCGCGACGCGTCGCTGCAAATTTCAGCCGGTAATTCCTCACAGGTCGCGAGGAAGACGACAACGAACGTGCATTTCGAGGTGTCGGAAGTTGCTCGGCTCGTTCCATTACTCAGCCACCGCATTATCGCGCATTAACGTCTCTGCACGGTCTTTGTCCTGTTTTATAGACGCGCCTCGCGATCCGCAATATTCGCACGACGTTCCGCCAAGATGACAACATCCTCCCGTGATGTTTCCTGCCGCGCCACCCGGGAAACACCAACCAACAGTAACGTTGCATCAGTGTTTTAATTCTTCACTCGACGATGTGACTGTTACACGCAGCACATGTTACATATTGCACGAAAAGGAAAAAAACTTTCGCCATCGTTAAACATGGTTTTCTGAAAAAATTGATTTTTTACTGCAACTAAAAATTTGCGCTCAGAGGCAAACGTGGTAACGGCAACTATGAAGTGACAATTATATTTAGTGTGTAGAATTATGTATATAATTATACTTAGTGTGTAGAATTATGTATATACTTTAATAAACTATTTCTGCAGATATATTGCAACTAAAGCTTCAGTTTAACAACTATAAATTAGTTTATTAAGCTATACACACTAATTCCACATACAAAACTCGTATAGTTGTGGCCTGTACAGTTGCTATCAACGTGTCTTTTTTTCTGAGTGTGCTGTAACTGAAACTGTTGCTACCACATCGGCTTTATAGCTGAATATATACCCACATTGGCGGATACACTTTTAGATATCTACACTGAGGGAAAAATTACCTTAAAATCAACAAATATTTATTTAATGGATGCCACTAACATATTTATTTAAATCTAAACTCTTTATCTAAAACCAAATATTGTTTACTTAAATCAGATAAATAATATTTGATTTAAGTAAAGAGAATTTAGATTTAAGTAAATATATTAATGGCACCCGTCAAAAAAATATTTGTTGATTTTAAAATAATTTTTCCCTCAGTGTATACGTTACAACGAATTCTTCTTCGTGTGCACTCATATGGTCGAGTGGAAAATTATATAACATTGTCATTAGTTGATATTTACCGTGTAGACAGTGTCGTTGCTTCCGGGTATCGCGCATTAGGACGAAATATCACGCGAAATTATGTTGCGAGACGTAAAAGTCATCCGTGCACGCCGCACTTTAGCTCCTTCGTCCCGATAAAGGGGAAACAATTTCTCGCGTGTCGCGACCTTTGCACGATTGCTCGTAACGCAGAAGTGGGTAAGTCTTGAGCGACTCTTTGTCGAGTGTGATCACCGTTGCGTGCGCGCGGCTCACTCGATTATCGATAAAGTAATTAGAGAAATATAGGCGGATGTGCGGTGCGCCCCCGGCGCCGCCGTTGTAACGCCCGACGTGTACGCGAGCTTTTGTTCCGTCGACGCGGCCGCGAGATTTAGGTTACAGCGTCGCCGGGGATGCGTGAAGCGATTGTTTCCATTATTTGACGATCGGTCAAGGGTAAGGAGAGAAGGTCGGCCGTGCCGAGTGTGTGTGACTTCGAGGCGGTGTCCTTACGTCAGTTGGGACGGAAAATAGAACGGACGCGCGCGTCTCAAAGACCAGCGCGAATTATATTTCGCTCGGGTCACCTCGATAATAGCGGCAGAATCCAACCCGGTCGTTTCCACGGGAATCTGATACCGCGAAAGCGATACGGTAAACGCTGCCGACGTAATCACATCAGTTCCCGCGACAAAATCGCGAAGACGCTCACGAATCCGCGACGGACTCTGTAGAGAACCTCTGAGGCTCGCGCACAAAGTCGACGCTCCTGTATGGAGAGAATGTTATAGTTTTTCTTTCTAACCATGAAGAACGTGGATGTAGCACCGTTTTCTCCGTGAAGTAGCATATATGAAATGAAAGAATAATAAATTAATGCAGAATTTCGATTTTTATTAATAAAACTCTCTTCGTGTATCCGACTAAAAATTACCCCATAGTCCTGACCAGGTTGATCCTAATCAGTTTGTATTTGGTTTGTACAAGGTGATGTTATCAGGTTCTGATAAGTTATATAACGCAGCGTAAAATCTCAGAATCTCCTCAATAACAAGGATTATTAATAACTAGAATACGATAACACCAACTTGTACAAGTCAGATAACTGACTATAGAGATCAACCTGATCGTGAGATAAATTTCTGGTCGGATAGTTTGAAGATCTTGTTCCCCGGCCGGGAGTGGTGAGCACAAGTTTGATGGCTTTTCGCGTGGCAGCGCGATATGGTTCTGCACTTAGCGAAACACCGAGGCGAGGCCGGCACGTCGCGATGCCAACAACCCCCGATCCGAGCCGGACGACTCGTCTGCTCGCGTACGCGACTCGACACCCAAAACCCCAAAGACCGTGCCAAGTGCTCGTATTTTCCTCTCTCGTTTCTATCACCGGTGGCAACGCGGCACCACCACCTACGGCGATGCACGTACGTAGTCGTCGACAGGACGGATTTTACAGCCGGGCGATATATCGCGTCGATCGACGACGAACAAGCCGAGTAACGACGCGCGCTTTGACACAGTCGCCGGCTTAATTTCGAGCGTGCAGGACACACGCTCCTAAATTGGCTTAATGGATGCGAGAGAGCGGGAGCGAGAGGAGGCGAAGACGACGAGTAGTGACGTCGGCGTCGTCACGTCGCAGCCGGGGTGAGATTGCGAGCGCAGCCGAATGCGACCTCCTCGGTTTCGGGCGCGATTCACGGCCCAGAGATAAATCTGCGCGCGCGTTAGCCGTTATCTCGCGAGATTTGGCGGAACGCGAGTTTGCGAAATGGTAGAATTAGGATAGACAAATTCGTCCGGCGTGCGCCTCTCTATATTAGGAGCGCACGGGCGATTTTCTCGGCTCTGTGAAAATTTCGCGAGACGTCGAAGGCGACGGTGTTGCTTATTCTCGAGACGGTAATTTCGTTCTTCCTGCGTGAAGAAGCACAACGAGAACACTACGTGGGTTAATGAAGTATTGACTTTAAAGGAAACTTTACCGATAAAATTGGGAGAGTTTCAAGCTGTCGCCATTATCGAGAGAGGATTTCGCGGAATAATTTTCGTCGAAGGTATTTGCGGATTCTTTTGGGTCACAGAGACTGCGTAGAATCGAGTTCGGGTTTTTCGATCTGGAGGAGGATTCGAAAATAAAATATGCGAATAAAACACGATTGAAAGCTCGACTTTTCGCAAAGCTCGGCTTTCCCTCCAATGGCTCCTTCTTATGCTTGCAGACGAAAGCAGGATGAGGTGCAAGTCCTCGAGGAAACGATACGGATGCGTTCGGAGAAACACAAGAAGGCGGGAGTGGAGCTGAACGCTACGTGTCACATATGCCTGAAAACCAAGTTCGCCGACGGCGTCGGTCACATCTGCAACTACTGCGACATCCGGTGCTGCGCACGCTGCGGCGGAAAGGTCACTCTACGGTCAAGCAAGGTAAGAGAACACGAAGAAGAATAAACGGCCGAGGAAAAGTCGCGGGGTCAGATTGATTGAATCGTCGCCTCCTGGCGGGCCGGCAGTGTCGTTTTTCTCTTGCTGCCTCAGTCACATTGCTGCACACCGGCATACGTAGAGAAACCTTTCGAAGGCCTTGACGTAAAAAGATCACACGGAAAATAAAAATAGAGACGTGTCCACATATCGGAGTTTGACGCACGATAATCGACTTGGTCTGCGCGCGTTGTTCCATGCAATATCAGTCAGATGACACTTCTCCCCTTTGCAGGGGATCACGGGAGAATTATTTTGACAAACGCGCGGAAAGATCAGGAATCTCATGTCGTAACGCGCTGTATAGTCGCTCGGAACGTAGCCGCGTAAGGTGTGTGTGTTTCAAGTGTGGAGAACAAATCCATCAGGCCCGCACTGATCTTCGAGCTCAAGTATTCCGCGAATATGAAAGAGAGAAAAGGAGGGGAAGGAGAGAGTTGCCGTACCAGTTTCCCTGGATCGTGGCTCATTAGTCGTACCTGATTGTGTCGCAATGTTTGCGTATACAAGATAAGATATAACCTGAAAATTTCTTGTTTGTATTTCTCATTGCTCATTTATTTCTTATTTTTACGCTTAGATCTTAATATTCGGTAATAATAAAGAAATTGATGATGTACAACTTCGGTATCTCTCCCTTATATCGACGTTAAGGAAATGATCCCTTGTTTCGCTGCAATTATCGTTACTCCTGAATTATCTGTCGTAGTAAATTAGGAAGTACATAGAAAATGTATAGATCTAGCATGGAATTATAGAGTTTGCTACGAAATTTCTCCGAGCTCAATCAAAATGAAATTATTGCTCGCACCAGCCATGCTCGAAATATCAGAGAACCGCACAAAAATGTCTCGAAAAAATTAACCTCATTAACAAAACTTTCGCGTAAACATCTCTCTCTCTCTCTTTCTTTCCTTCTCTCGTAATTCGCGAGATCGCGATCCGAGCGAGCCGTTCGGTAGAATTTCGCGAAATTACCTCGTCGCGCAGCTACGTAGGACACGCATTTACGTGGCTACGTACGTAATAACGACGATAACACACGGAGATAACTGCGGCTCGACGACGCGCGTGAATTCAGCGCGGACAGCAGCGGCCGCGTTATCGAAGCGACGTGACACGAAGCTCGGCACCTCGGGGCTTGTTGGTTCAACAAGAGCGCGCGTTCGGCGGCGTCATAAATGTCAGCTTCCTGGAAGCAATTAAGAGCCGGTGAAAGACTCGTAAAAGGTGACAACACATCTTGCGCGCGTGTGTCATCAGGCGATGCGGGCATGCCAGAAACGGACCCCGTACGAAATAATAATTGACCTTTCATGGGGCGCCGATTAACCCTTATCGCGAGCACCAATATACACCACCGTCCGGGGGCTGAAGGGGTGGGTGGTAATGCCGTCACTTAAACAGTCGAGACGAGCTGGCCGTGAGAGCGAATACGTTCCTTCCCCATTTACATAGGCGGTATTTTCCCGCTCACGCTCGCTCGTTCGCTGGCTGGCTGGCTGGCTGGCTGGTTGAACGCAATTTCGACCGGATTTTCATCGACGGAGATGAAGGATTAACGTCCGGTGTGGACAGAGCACGACGTGGCGCGGCGCGAATATCGCCTGTGCTTTTAAAACTTTGTTATTATCCGCGCGCGCTCCTTTCCCACCCCCGACGTCATATCCGAACGTATCCGCGCGGATTCTCGCCGAACACGGCGACTAACATCGTTGTAGTCGTCTTCGTCGTCGTCGAATTCGCACCTGTTCCGCGCTAACGCGATTATCCTCCCTTTTGCAAATATTATTCTCCCACCCCCGCGTTTATGTGTGTGTATGTGTGTGCGCGCTTACGTACGTACGTACTTTACGATATCGATTTAGCGTATTCGCGAATGCGCCCATCCTGGAATCCTCCCCCACGCCGAATAATACAGAAATAACGAGAACGAGAGAAAGAGAGTAACAGAGAGAGAGAGAGAGAGAGAGAGAGAGAGAGAGAGTTGAGGGAATATGAGGGAGTTTGCGGATTGTCGCGCAATGGAACGTGGCTGACTGTGCTACTTATTAGCGGGGTTGGGACGCGAGAGCGCGTTTTAATTATGTCGTCATCGGCTTCGCGGTTGCTCTCACTACATGGAGAATATACGTGCCGTACGTGCACCACGACTTTTCAAATGTGAACGTACGCACAGAGGGAAAAGAGATAATATAGACACAGTCGTATTGATTGCGACAAACGAAGCAATTTGCTCGAACGGCATTTCCTAGGATCAAATTTTGGTGGTAAGAATCACGCTGAGTGACGAAAATTGTTAATCTCGATAAAATTATAGTAATTTTCTGCGTCAATCACATCTCCCTGCAGTCTAACAAATAAATTGTAGTGGCATATGTGTATGTAAAGTTATCATTGATAATGTGGTGACACTCTCAGTCGGAAAAATGCTCCTCCTCTGGCTATAACTGTTATATTACGCGATCATAGTTGCAAATGCCAAAGGCACATTTTCCCCAGTGCCAGAAATTCTGTGCCTTTAAAGCGAGAGCCGTTGGTTCGCTGATTGAAACGAAACTTCATGCCAATACGACGAAATCCCCCCCCCCCCCCCCC